GCTGGAAACAGAGGTGAAGGGGGGTGGGATGTCCTGGAATGTGGTGCCACATGATGTACCGTCATGCTGCGTCTCACCAGGAAGGGAGAGAGTAGATGCTGACTGCTCAGGAAAGCAGCCCAGAGGTGTCGCTCAAGAATCGTCTCCTGGGACTGCTGGCTCAACTCCAGCCCAAAGCCCAACTTTTGTTCTAGTTGGGCACCGGAGTCGGTCCTGGCCCACAGCAGCCACGGAATGAGTGCCGCCTGGTCCTGCACCACCTCTTGTGAATTGAGCCCACTGTTGCAACCACTGTGTCGATCCAGCTTGTTGAGGGCCTTCCTCTTTTTGGCTGATGTCCAAAGTCCGTGAGAAGTTGTCTCCCTATCCTTGCTTCTTCCAAGTCAAATTTGACTGTTCTTTTGGCAGAACAACTTTAGGGCCTGTTTTCCCTTCTCAGTTAAGTGCCTCTGAGAATGCATTCTGCCTACCGAGCCTCATAGCGATCTCCTATGTCAGAAGACAAGTGTGTTTTGTTCCGTAAGGTTTTCAGAAATAAGATCACCAGACCTTTCTTCTGCGGTGCCAATGAGTAGACTTAAAAGCCCCATTTGTTTCCATTACCAGCCCTTGGGAGCTTTTGGTTCTTTTTATCATAAAGGTGAAATATTGCTGAATCATAGTCCTTTAAATGCACCCAAATCAGATCACCTAAGAATGAACTCATGGTTTTGGGGGTTTTTTTGAAGCTGCTAGGCCCACGGTCAGGTTCAGCTCACGGACAGGGTTTTTCATTTCTATTCATGCCATTCCAGCCACCTTGCTTTTTTTGCATCTCCGCCGTTGTGGCTGAGGTTACGCACAGCAGCTTCACCAATTCGGCGGTTTGTGCACGGACCCGTTCCCGAGTCAGGATTCCCTTCTTGGGGCTGTACAGCCATTCGTACTCCACTGAGAGCTGTTCCTCCCCCAGTCACCTTAGGCTCCTCCCAGCTCACCATTCCAGTTGCTGAGGTCATTCTGATCCCATACAGGTCGTGCTCCGGGGAGCACAGTGCTAGAGGTAGACATTCCTTGTAAAGAGCCCGTTTAGTGTTTGAGAGCACTCTCCATAACAGGGCAGCCTTAATGGTTGACTTTCTGGAAGTTGGAGGGTTGTTGCTTGTGCTGGTAAGAGTTAGGGTTTGGAGCCTGGCCCCCTTTTGAGCAGCATTGTGGCTGCCAGCTAATCTTCCCCCGGGGCTGGAAGACGAGGGACAGACAGCTCTCACATGCATGGGGAGGGGTCTAAGACCTGAAATTCCACTTCACGGCGTATCTGATTAAGGAAGCATTGTGGTGATTGAGCGGCTTAGCTCACCTCCAGCAGTTTGAAACCGCCAGCCACTCGGGAGGAAGTGGGGGGTGTATCCTTTGGGAGGCCACCCCCACCCAGGGGCAGTTCTCCCTGGCAAAGGAGACTTGGTGCAGTGAGGGAAAGAGGGCTTCTTCGTGCACTTGCCCTTGCGGCGGTTTGTTAACGTGCGTGCATAAAGCACAGAGGGAGCGGGTCGAGAAGCTTCCCAGATTTGTGGGGAAACACCATTCTCCTTCCATTTCCCCGCTCTTTTGGGATGAGCTTTACCAAACAGGATGTCTTGTCTGGGACCCAGTAGTGTTCATGCCACCGCTGTGTAGTGGAGGGCGAAGTTTCTCTGCCATCTGTAGAAGCTCAGCCCCCAGCTGCCTCCCAGTGTCCCAGGCTGTCTGCTGAGCATTTCTGTCACGCAGTCTCAGTGACCTCGTGCCCTCTTCTTCGGTCAGGGTGAAGACCCTTTCACCAGTGAAGCTGCCGACCCAGAAGCTGAGGGAGAGGACTGTCTGGGAGGTGGAGACAAGGAGGAGACCCCCGAAGAGGCTGCTGCAGAAGTGCTCGCCAGGGTGATCCCAGCGGCTGTGCGGGCCGTGGATGGGGACGGAGCCCCAGCTCCCGAGTGCTGCGAAGTGCCCCCCGCCACCACGGAGAGCCCTGTGGACACAGCTGAGGCCACCAGAGGCCCTCTTCCTGAACAGCCGGCAGCGGAAGGGACAGCCCTTGAAGCGGTGGCAGAGGAGAATCCCATTGTGGAAGCCACACGTGGGGCTGAAGCCAAGGCCGGAGATGGAGCTGTGGATGTTGGGGGTGGAGTGGCAGCCCAGGTGGCCCCTGCAGTGCCATCCATGGAGGCAGAGAGCCCCGTCACAGGCCTGGTTCCAGACCAAGACACCACCCAAGGCGAGATGGACCAGACTGACGCACAGTCCAAAGATGTTCATGTTCTTCCCACCGAGTGACCCCTCCGCCCTCAGCTCTCCCCTGAAGGACTCATGCATTGCTTGCCCTTCTCTGGCTTGTGGGGGCCGCAGTGCTCAGTACACCTCTTTGGCAACCCCACCCTTTCCTTCAGGAGAGTGCCGCCTCCCACTGGACCTGCCGGGGAAGGGTGGGGGCTGCAGATGCCCCAGGAAGCTCAGCAACCCCCTGCAACTACCTGCTGCACCCCCACCCCCATGCCCCCTGGGGCAGTTGGGATACTAAGCGTCGATAACAGAAGTGAATGCAACCACTCACAGCCTTCCATCCCCCCAATCTTGTTTCAGGGAATGGGGTTTGGAGCTGCCCACTCTTGGAGCTGTGTCATGCTCCACACGGGTTGGTTTGGTTTTCCCCACCCCCTTTAGAATTCCTTGTTTTCGACTCCACATTGAGCCTCACTCCTTGGCCACCATCTGGAACCAGGTCTTGTTAACCTGAGATTGTCATCTGGCCCAAGGGTGAGCACTTCAGGCCCAGCAGGTCTGGCCTACCTTTCTTACTTGCCCCAGCAAGACGGAGCCCATGTTCCCACCCCCACGCTCTCAGTAGTTTGGGATTTTCCCTTTCTTTTTGTACATTGATTACTTCCATTTAAAAGTGCCCAACACAAAAGGCTGGTGTCACCACCGCACAGGGAAAACCAGCACCCCCGGCCCTAGAGAGACAGGTGAGCGCACTCAACTGAACTGCTCTGCTAGTAAACGCGCTTCCTCGGGAGCTTGTCTGGGGCGGAGGGAAGCTGGTGGCACTGAAAGGGAGCAGAAGAAAGGGTGTGCTTCCCTGCACCCCTTTAGCCTGCTGCACACCTCCCAGTCAGATCTTTGATGAGCATCTACCTTGTCCCAGGTGCTAATTTATGATATCAATGTCTGAGACCCAGACCCTGCCCTCAGGGAGCCTCCTCAGAGACAAAAAGATGGATATATGTATATGAAAAAGTCAATCTTAGCTATCAACCGAAATAAAACTGCTAGTTCAGTAACACCTTGGTGCTTCTAGATGGTCTCTACTCTTACCGTGGGTGTTGTATGGCTGGGCTGATTTGAACAACCCTAGCTTGTTCTTCAAAGACAAAAACCATGAGGGCACCATCAAGCATTAGTCGGGTGCCAAAGGGCAGTAGGGGACTACTCGGTGTTGGAGTCACAATAGCCGAAGGTCTGGCGTGAATTGGTTTTAGTGAGGTTCCCATTTGGCTGTCGGAAGAACCACTTGGACTGTATAAATGGGCGTCCTTGTATTTCCTGACATGATGGGAATAAATGGCCGCTTGTTGAAGGTGAGAGCCACAGTGGTTACATGCTCGGCTGCTAACCAGAAGGTGGTCGGTTTGAATCCACCAGAGGAGGGTGCCGCAGTGTGCTTCCCCACAGGTTGACAGCCTTGGAAACCCAATGGGGCAGTTCTCGGCTCTGAGGGCAATCAGTCAGCTTTTAGGGCTGTTTAAAGAGTAAATTAAGAAGGACCAGTAGTTTCCTAGAAGGTATGGTTGGCACTTGGCTATTATTTGCACACGCTATGAACCTGCCCAGTGGTGCCAGAGTTTAAGGGAAACGAACAGTTCTACTCTAATGTGGGTCTGTCACCAGGAGTGAGAACTTCCGAGTGGCGGCTAGTTTGGTGTGGTTTTGCAGAGTAGCCTCTTCTCAGGGTCAGGTATCAAAGCACGTGGACAACCTCTCATCAGCCTGAGCCACCAGTGGCTGTGAACTCTCCAGATAGCGCCTTTGCTTACTAAAAAACAGGTTAAAAGAATTGGCAACCCTCGCTACCATTACAAAACAAAACCCTAGGAACAGCAGCCTAGTGTCCGCTTCAGGAAGAGGTGGGGACAGCTGCTTAGAGTGCTCATCAGTATGCACAAATCTCCAGTCAGATTTTGGAAAGACCCTTGGGGAATAATTCTGGCCACCCGATAAGACATTGCTCAGCTGCCGAATTCTAGAAGAGTCAGGGTTTCTTTAAAGCACAGAAACTTACCACACCTTTTAGGGGTGATACATGATCAGAAAGGTGGGCATTGCAGTACCTGGGGGTCCAGGCCTTGCGAGGGAACAAGTCACGCGGTGATCTGGGGCTCCTCCCTTGAGGCAGATCCTCTGCCCATCTGCCAAGAAGCTTTTAACTTCTCCGATGCCTTTGAAGACTCAGAAACATTGTTCTTGACAAGATGCTCCGTTCAGCAATACTTTGCAATACCCTCTCGTTTGCTCCCAGAAATTTTTCTCTTGAAAATACTCCTAAGTAGTAACTGCTCCTTAGAGTCCCCAGAACTGATCACGATGATCTACAAATAACCCCCTCCCAGGGGGTCGGACAACAGGAAAGTGGGTGAAGGGAGACATCGGTCAGTGTAAGACATGAAAAGATAATTTATAAATTGTCAAGGGCTAATGAGGGAGGAGGGTGGAGGAGGGAAGGAAAAAAAAGCTGATGCCACGGGCTATGTGGTAGAAAATGTTTTGAAAATGGTGATGGCAACATGTACCAGAGTGCTTGACACGATGGATGGTGATAAGAGCTGTATGAGCCCCCAATAAAATGATTAAGAAATAATACTTATTCAAAAAATGAAAGAAAGAACCCCCAGAGGCTGGTACCTGATTTCTAGGTAACAGATTGTGTGAATATAAGTCTACTGCAATTGGTCTCTTTAAGGAAAATCTGCTTCCAAAGAGAGAACCAGCACTTGTCTGTCAGTTTGTCTGTCCATGATGGCTTGTGTGTTACTGTGATGCTGAAGCTGTCACTGGTATTTGAAGTGCAAGCAGGGTCACCCAGACTGGTTTCAGCAGAGCTTCCAGACAGAGTATGAAGAAGGAATTTGCTGCCCACTTCAGAAGACGCAGCCGCTGAAAACCTGATGCGTAGCATGAAGATACTGTCAGATAACGAATGAATGGAAGCAGAGCATTACCAGAGATAGTGTGTGAGAATGACCCTTTGAGTCAGAAAGCATTCAAAATATGACTGAAGAGGAACCGCTTTCTCAAAGTACAGTTAGACCATGGTGACAAGAATGGAGTAAAACCTGTGGGGTCTTCCTTTGCTGATGGGACAAAACTAAAAAGAAGCTGCAGAAATAGAATACTTGGAACTCGGAATGTCCCAAATAGGAATCTAGGGAAGTTGGAAGTCATCAGGAATGGAACACATAGAGACTGATACTAGGAGTTGGTGAGCTGAAGTGGACTGATGCTGGCCACTTTGCATGGAAAATCATGGTTTACTCCACTGGTGCGACGCAAAGAAGAGGAATGATAATGCGTTCATAGTCAACAAGGGCATTGCATTACATTATATCGAAGTATAATGTCTTTGAGGATTATAGCGACCCACCTTCAAGGAAATCCAATCAATACAACTATTACTCAAATGTTTTGTTTGTTTGAGAAGTAAAGAAAAGGCTTTGTTAAGGCAGGGAAGAACTCCCCGGACGGATTCCACAACCTAACGAGCTCAGATAAGGAAGTCGCCAACTATTATTCAAATGTATGCAACAATTATGAAAGCTAGTGTTGAAGAAATTAAAGGATTCTACAAACATCTTCAGTCTCTGAGATCGATAAAAATTTCAGTTAAAAAATCAAGATGCATTGATAAATTATTGGCGATTGGAATGGAAAAGTTGGAAATGGAACAGCAATTGGAAGATACACGTGTGGTCTTGGTGATAGAAATAGCAGTCACATAGTAGAATTTTGCAAGACCAACCACTTGTTTATAGCAAATATCTTTCTTCAACAAAAAAATAGGTGAATTTTCACAGAAATCAAATCGACTACATTTGTGGGAAGACATGACAGAGAAGCTCAATATCAGCAGCTAAAACCAGGCCAGGAGCTGACTCTGGAAAGCAACACCATTGCTCATGTGTAAGTTCAGGATGAAGCTGAAAAAAAGCAAGTTAGTGACCCTACCCCGCCTGGAATTTCTAGAACATCTCATGAACAGGTGTGATACATTGAACCCTAATGCCAGAAGATCTGCACATCAAGAACATCATTCAAGAGGAAAGTAAAGGGTTATTAACAAGACAACAAAGAAACGATCAACTTGGATGTCAGAAGAGACTCTGAAACGTGCTCTTGATCATAAAGCTGCTGAGGTAGATGGAAGCAATGATGGGTCAAAGAGCTGAACAGAAAATTTCAAAGAGCAGCTCAAGAAGACAAAGTAAAATGTTATAATGTGCAAAAAGACTTCGAAAAGCAAAAACAAAGCACATGCTCAATATGTCTTAATCTGAAGGAATTTAAGAAAAATTCAAGTTGCAATTTTGAAAGATACTGTGGGCAAAAAAATGGAATGATGCAAGAAGCATCAAAAGAAAATGGAAATAATACACAGTGCCACTGTATCAAAAAGAACTAGTCAACGTTCAGCCACTTCAGCCTATGAGCTATGAACCAGTGGTATTGAGAAATAAGTCCAAGCTGCACTGAAAGCATTAGCCAAAAATAAAGCGTCAGAAATTGAAAGTTGAAATGCTTCAGCATGATGTATGGATTGTTAAAAGAGTTGTAAGAGCCCCCAGTAAAAGGATTTATTAAAATTTGAAAAAAAAAATGTTTCAGCAAGCTGATGAAGCACTGGAAGCATTTTCTCCTCTATGCCAGGAAATTTGGAAGACTGCAACTTGGCCAACTGACTGAAAGAGATCCATACTTGTACCATTCCAAAGAAAGGTGACCCAACAGAATGCTCAAACTATAGAATAGTCACTGTTCCCACATGCAAGTAGAACTTTGCTGAAGATCATCCAAGAATGGTTGCAGCAGTACATTGACAGGGAGCTGCCAGAGATTCAGGCTGAATTCAGAAGAGACTGTTCCCTGTTCCCAAGGAATATCATTGCTGATGTCAGATGGATCATGACTGAAAGTAGGGAATACCAGAAAGGTGCTTACTTGCGTTGGTTGAATACTCAAAGGCACTGACTGTGTGGATCATAACAAACTATGGATAGCCTTGAGAAGAATGGGAATTCTAGGATCCCTCTTTGACCTGTACATGGATCAAGTAGCACTAGTGCGGACAGAACAAGGGCACACTGCATGGATTAAAAAACCAGGGAAGGTGTGCACAGGAAGGTGTGCCTCTCGCCATACTTATTCAATCAGTATGCTGCACAATAATCAGAGAAGCTGGATTTTATGAAGAAGATTCGGCCTCAGGATTGGAGGAAGGCTTAGGTAACAACCTGTAGTACACAAATGATACAACCTTGCTTGCCGACAGTGAGGAGGACTTGAAGCACTTGATGAAGATCAAGGATGGCAGCCTCCAGTATGGATTACAACTCCATGTAAAGAAGACCCAAATCCTCCCAACTGGACAAACAGGAAGCATCATAATAAACAGAGAAAATAATGATATTGTCAAAAGATTTCATGTTGCTTAGATCACAATCAGTGGCCATGGAAGCAGCAGTCAGGAGATCAAAGGATGGATTGCAATGGCTAAATCTGCTACACAAGACCTCTTAAAAGTGTTGAACAGCAAAGATGTTACTTGGAAGACTAAGGTGTGCCTGGCCCAAGCCTGGTCTAGAAAGAGATGTTCTTCTTCGCTAAAGATCCCAAGAGGTTGCTTCAGGAACCCACTAGTCCCCAGAAGGAAAGCGACAAATGCCATGTCGGCGTTTAGTCCTGAGCTACTTCCACCCAGGAGGAGTGGGCTGGTCCTCCAAACCTTTAAAACAGCCTGCTCATGCAGAAGTTCTATCAGGCATCCTCTCTCTAAAATAGTCCAATTGCAACTATCCTGACCACCAGCCCCGGCGAGAACCTTTCCCTGCATAGAGCACGATGTACTGGCAGGACAGTCTCATGCGCCACTGCTTCTTGCTCCGATGCTGTGATGTTCCCACAAGGCCTTTCGCCTGTGTAGCCACCAGTGGCTTGGGCCAAAGTTTAATCAGCAGTGTTTCCCCCTTGCTTGCCAGTTGATATTAAGTCAACGGAGAACTCTGGCACCCCCAC